GGCGTGTGCTGCCACGCCTGGCTAATTTTTGTAACTTTAGTAGAGACCGGCATTCTCCAGTAGAGATGTTGGCCAGGCTGGTCTCCAACTCCTGACCTCAAGTGATTCACTATCCTCGGCCTCCCAAAGTGCTGGGATTACAGGCACGAGCCACCGAGCCCAATCTAAATGTTTTTTGCTGAAGCTAAATTTTAGATAGCCTCTTAAATCTCCTCACCTTGTAATTTTGGTAGGTTTCTGCAACCACACAGAGGTTTAACACTTTTATAATTCAAGACTCTGGATAAATGGAACTTTGGTCCCCACAACCACATTCCAAGTTCAAGTGCGGCTAACCTATGCAAGTCTTTCAACAGCGTGCTCCTAACAGATTCTGCAATCTTTAGCTCAAAATCCCCGTCCAAACCTAGAAAACATGCCAAGTGAAAGAAGCCAGACACAAAAAAACACATATTGAATGATTCCATTTATATAAAATGTCCAGAATAGGCAAATCCATAGAAACAGAATGTACATTAGTGGTTGCCAGGGGCTGAGAGAAAGGAAAATAGGAGTAACTGCTTAATAGGCATAGGGCTTCTTTTTGGGGTGATGAAAATACACAGTCCCTGACTTATGATGATTCAGTTTGCCTTAGGATATTTCAACTTTACAATGGTGCGAAAGTGATACACATTCAGTAGAAACCATGCTTCAAGTACCCATGCAATCACTCTGTTTTTCACATCCAGTACAGTATTCAATAAATTCCATGAGCAATTCAACACTTTTTTTTAATATAAAATGGACTTTGTATTAGATGATTTTGCTCAACTGTAGGCTAATGTAAATGTTTTACGCACATTTAAGGTAGGCTAGGCTAAACTACGATGTTCAGTAGATTAGGTGTAATAAATGATTTTTAACTTATTTATTGAGTTTTTTTTTTTTTTGGAATGTAATCCCGTTGTAAATTGAGGAGCATCTGTATTCTATAATTAGATAGTGGTGATGGTTGCACAGTATTGTGATTAAACAATTGCTGAACTGCACACTTTAAAATGGTGAATTTTATGTCATGTGGATTTTATCTCAAGTGAATTAAAAAACAAAAAACTGTCCAGCCTATGTCAATGAAGATAAGAGACAGAACAACCAGATGGGTGAGTGGAGATTGCTTAAAGAGTAGCCCCATTGTGAGCTCTTCCTGGGGAGGACACACAGTACCTCCTGCAGAATACTTCCATTCTATACTCCCATTTCCAGCCAAGTAGAGGGAGCGTCCAGAGAAACATGCCACAAGCTGACACATGCCTCCTGGAGTTCAGAAAGCACAGGAGCTGGAGTCTGAGTTTTCCCTGAAAATATATCTCCATATAATGAAAGACACAGGATTGGGTGAGAGATCTGGTTCTATAAAAAATCTTAGGCAATTTACAAAAACCAACTGGAGGAGGCCAAGAGAACAGGATGCTGTAGGAGCTGAGTGCACTTCCATAGTTGCTGGACAAAGGTATGTTTTTCTTGTGGGTTCAAGCTAAGTCACACTGTAAAAATCCTATTAAGACTGCTGCCCGCCAGAGTGAGGAGACACCACAGGAAGCTCCTTATGCAGCAATCAGTGACCCAGTGAGCTCCATCTCCAAAGAACACTCAGCGTGCCTCACGCCAAAAACAGAGGCAACAAAGTATCTGCCAGTGCATCAATTCCACCTGATTACAGGGCGCAGGGTAGAATCAAAGGAGATAAAGAATGTGAAAGTCCTTCTTAGGACATAAAGTGCTATTGAAGTGTTAATTATTAGTAAAAATGACTTAGAATCATCAAACATGTGCTATTAATTTCTTGTCTCATATCTCTAATTCCTTAAATCTTTGATTATAACCTGAGAAATTATGGAAATCACAGGGCTAGAACTCCTGTGATTTCATCACCTCAAATTACTGCCTCAGGCAGAAGGTATTTCCAAACCCAGTTAGACACTCACATGACCACACACCCTTCTCAGTACACTAGATTCAGAATTATGTCAAGTGTCAAGCCACATTCTACTATCCCTTGGAGTCTTTACTGAATGGTCAAAACTACCAATGTATTATGTCATGTGGAAGAGGCCAGAGGAATATCTATCGCATCCTATTTTAAACTCCTAAGAAGGCAACTCAACCATCTGTCTTGGCAACCCATTCCAGGTTGGAACCACCCTGGCAGAAACGTCTCTCTTCTGTTCAATCTAAATCCTTCAAATAGAACCTCGAGATAATTGCATCCCATTTCATTTTCAAATAATTTGGAACACAGTTGTTTACCATCTGGGTTATAGGATTATATAATGTCACAGGGCTGTGGTGCGCAATAAATGAAATAATGCATGTAAAACGCATAGCTCAGTGTCTGGCATATAATAATGGCTCAGTACATATTTATTATCACCATCATTACATGTGTTAGTAGTCTGTCCGTCACAAGCGACATACTCACAAGTCAAAATAATTTAAGCTAAAAAGGGGGGTGGGGTGGAAAATATAATTAAAAAGGAAGTAAAAGTATGCAGTGGCCTTCAGGTACTACCAGATCCAGGACTCAAATAACATTTACAGGCTTCCTCTTTCTCTTTCTTCCCCTTCATTTTTAAGACAAGCTTTCAAAGCAAAAAAGGCAGGACAGCAACCAGCAGATTCAGGTGGCGTAAACTGTTATCTTAACCACTTTGAATAGGTTCCCTGTTCATCAGTTCATTTATCAAAAATTTATTGAATATGTTAAGCAGGGTTCTAGGAGCTGAGAATACAGTAATACCCAAAACAGATAAAACTGCTATCCTCTTGGAATTTATCTTCTAGTGAAAAGAGGGAATCTGTTAGAAGAAGGAGAAAGGATGCTAGAAAGATAAAAATGCTATCCTCCACAAAATAAGGTCACATCTTATACCTTAAGATCAACTATTATCTTTCTTTCCTCCCAGTTGGTAAACTCAATCTTTTTACAACCTTCTTCCCCCTCACAAACATGTGAAACCCCCCCAATCAGGTCTTCAAATGGATAAATAGCCTTGTCTATGGATTTTGAGTGCATTTAGTTTACTTTTGCTGTGTAATCTCCGCATAATGTTTCTACAGTATGCCTGTAGTTATAATATAACCTTCTTGTTTCAACTTTTTTGAATCACTTATTCTTTTTAGACTATTTTTGCATTAAATACAGGTCTTTCTTCTGCCTTCATGGTTTCCTTAGAATACTATGTTAATTAATTGGTAAAATCCTGCAAAAACCTGGTCATTTATTAGTCAATTAAAAAATATTCCTCCGAGCAATTTTAATTCTATTCCTCTGTATTAACTATCCAAACTCTATAAAATTGGAGGCCTGGAGACCAAGTGTTTTTGAGAACCCCAGGAAGTGTGGCCTAATACTAGAAAATCTCAACTTCTGCCTCTCCCCTTGAAGTGCACAGTGAGAAAGGCTTGCATGAAGCATTTTAGGCTGTGTTCTTATGATAAAATTCAACTTTTCATGAAATAAATTAATCTGCATCAAGTTGTTTTCATCTGAAAATGTCTAGATTTATTAGTGCTAGCCCGGCTTTAATCCACAAACAATTCCATTTAAATTAGGCGTTGGTCTAACAGATCTGCCTGACCACAACAATGACTCATGGACCGTGTAGGAAACAACTTTCACTAAGTTCAAGATTGCTCAAGTGAAAAGGTGAGCAGGGGAGGGGAGGAAGAGTTGGTTGTACTCATCATTTTTATCTATCCTGCCCCAACTGTTCTCTCAATTTGGTTGCTTTTCATTCCACTGTGGTTGGCATCTTTTGTCAGGGCAGTAATTTATTTCTTTTAATCCGGATATAATGGCCAAGAGGGCCATTTGGCTCACTCAAATCCCATCGTTAAAACTTATCTTGGAATTAAACAAAAATGGATTTTTAATCGTAGAGCTCATCAGCTTCATAGCCTCCACCTCATTTTTGAATGGCCTTGTTCGGCTTGCACCTTCTGTGCTTGCCAAACCAAAGCGCCCTGGTCGGCTGCAGCATCTCTGGAAGGGATGAAGAGCCTCCGCGCACACGCCCCTTACGTCCCTGTCCCGCACGCGCCACGAGCACGCTTGCAAAAGACGCGGAGGTGGCGGAGACAAAGACGGAGGAAAAGAGAGAGAGAGAGAAGAGGGAAAGGAAAAGAGAGAAAAAAGAAAAAAAAAAAAGGTCTGCTCTGGGATTATTATTATTATTTGGGTTAATACCCTTATCTTTGCATTCCAGCCGGAAGGTCGGCTCCAAGTCTTCTTTCCTGCCCTCCTCCTTCTTGAATTGGACACCATCCCTGTTGCCGCCTCCTGAGTTAGGAAAGGGATAGAACTTTCCTAGGGAGGTGAGGGGTGTCCCCGAGGCGATTTCTCCGGTTACTTCCTCCCGGCAGAGATCCCTGTGGAGAGGAAACGTTCCCGACTTCCCTCCCCGCGACCTCCTCCCCAGATGCGAGCGGAGACGTCAGGCTGCTTCTGGGTTTATTTTGTAAACCCAGACAGTCAACTGCACTGGGCGCCGGGAAAGCCTCCTTGGCCCTCGCCCCAAAGCAAAGCTCTAAGAGGTCCGGGGACTCTGGCCTGGGTGGGGAGAGAGACGTGACCTGTGCGGCCGCCGCGAAATGGGTCTCCAAAGGTGAGACCCCTCCCTCAGTGGTTGGGCGTGTCCCCTTTAGCTTTCCTGGACCCCGTTACTGCCCGGCTTGGAGCTGGACGAAGGCACGTAATTGGTAGGCGAGTGGGTTGGGGCGTCTTGACCCTAGGACGAGAGTCTGGGCCTCTGGTGTGGACCCCTGCCTCCTTCCCGCTCTGCGCGGCCATTCTAGAGGTCCGGGTGGGCGCTGGAGGAGGAAGGCGGGTGCAGGCGGCGGGGCCGCGGGGCGGTATGAGGGGGCGCCGGCCGCCTCTCGGATTGGCTGCGCCGCCGCCCCCTCCGCACCGCGCGCCCCCCACCACGCGCCCAGCCGGCTCCCTCCCGCAGGCTCCGAGCTGCTGCCCGCAGGAGGCAGGACGCGCAGGGGTGGGACCGGCCACCCAGCCCCTCTCCCGGCCCCGGGCGCGCGGGAACCCCGGGTCCTGCAGCCTCCCGAGTGCGGAGAGGCGGGGCCGCCCGCTGCCGCCCAGCTGCCTGCGCCCCCTCCCGCGGCCCCGGCTCCGGGAGCGGGGCGCCCGGCGCACGGGCACACGGCGGCCAGAGCGCCGAGGCGGTACCTTCAGCCTGCAATGAGAGGAGCCCGGGAGAGCCCCCGGGAGCCAGCGAAGAGCGTGGCTGCTGCGTCCAGGGCTGCTGCTGCCGCTGCCGCTGCGGCTGCTTGAAACTCCTCAAAGTTGAGAGCCGGCGAGAGGCTGCCGCCAGCCGGGAGCCGGAGGGAAAGGAAGTCGGAAGGTGCAAGAGTGACGGACACGGACAGACGGACGCGCAGACCTTCGGAAGGCACCGCGTAGGCAGCCTCCCCGGAGCCCGCGAGGCTCCCCAGCTCCGTGAGTTGTTTTATGGATGGGTGGTTGCTAAGTATTTCCGTTTAATTGTTTGTAGGCTACGTTTGCGTATAGTTGTGTTTGTTGGAGGGAGTTAAAAAACAACAACAACGCAGGATACACCTTAGGAAAAAATTGAGTTTCTGACGGTGGGTGAGACGGCGGTATGGAGAGAATGTGACTAAATTTTTACAAGCAGGACTAACCCAGGAAAGACGAAAGAATACATTTAACAGTGAAGAGGCAACACAGAGCTCCCTATTGTGAAATAAAATCCATTTCAAAAGTTATTGGAAAGAAAGTAAGGTATGGCTCTTATGGGTTAACTAGTGGTAGTCAGTTTCTGCTTTTTACCCCCTCTGAAATATTAATTGTTTGCCAGGTTCACTGGTGGGAGTCTGAGCCGGTGGAAAAGACACCGGGAAGAGACTCAGAGGCGACCATAATGTCGTTACGTGTACACACTCTGCCCACCCTGCTTGGAGCCGTCAGACCGGGCTGCAGGGAGCTGCTGTGTTTGCTGATGATCACAGTGACTGTGGGCCCTGGCGCCTCTGGAGTGTGCCCCACCGCTTGCATCTGTGCCACTGACATCGTCAGCTGCACCAACAAAAACCTGTCCAAGGTGCCTGGGAACCTTTTCAGACTGATTAAGAGACTGGACCTGAGTTATAACAGAATTGGGCTTCTGGATTCTGAGTGGATTCCAGTATCATTTGCAAAGCTGAACACCCTAATTCTTCGTCATAACAACATCACCAGCATTTCCACGGGCAGTTTTTCCACAACTCCAAATTTGAAGTGTCTTGACTTATCGTCCAATAAGCTGAAGACAGTGAAAAATGCTGTATTCCAAGAGTTGAAGGTTCTGGAAGTGCTTCTGCTTTACAACAATCACATATCCTATCTCGATCCTTCAGCATTTGGAGGGCTGTCCCAGTTGCAGAAACTCTACTTAAGTGGAAATTTTCTCACACAGTTTCCAATGGATTTGTATGTTGGAAGGTTCAAGCTGCCAGAACTGATGTTTTTAGATGTTTCTTATAACCGAATTCCTTCCATGCCAATGCACCATATAAATTTAGTGCCAGGAAAACAACTGAGAGGTATCTACCTTCATGGAAACCCATTTGTCTGTGACTGTTCCCTGTATTCCTTGCTGGTCTTTTGGTATCGTAGGCACTTTAGCTCAGTGATGGATTTTAAGAACGATTACACCTGTCGCCTGTGGTCTGACTCCAGGCACTCGCGTCAGGTACTTCTGCTCCAGGATAGCTTTATGAATTGCTCTGACAGCATCATCAATGGTTCCTTTCGTGCGCTTGGCTTTATTCATGAGGCTCAGGTCGGGGAAAGACTGATTGTCCACTGTGACAGCAAGACGGGTAATGCAAATACCGATTTCATCTGGATGGGTCCAGATAACAGACTGCTAGAGCCAGATAAAGAGATGGAAAACTTTCACGTGTTTCACAATGGAAGTCTGGTTATAGAAAGCCCTCGTTTTGAGGATGCTGGAGTGTATTCTTGTATCGCAATGAATAAGCAACGCCTGTTAAATGAAACTGTGGACGTCACAATAAATGTGAGCAATTTCACTGTAAGCAGATCCCATGCTCATGAGGCATTTAACACAGCTTTTACCACTCTTGCTGCTTGCGTGGCCAGTATCGTTTTGGTACTTTTGTACCTCTATCTGACTCCATGTCCCTGCAAGTGTAAAACCAAGAGACAGAAAAATATGCTACACCAAAGCAATGCCCATTCATCGATTCTCAGTCCTGGCCCTGCTGGTGATGCCTCCGCTGATGAACGGAAGGCAGGTGCAGGTAAAAGAGTGGTGTTTTTGGAACCCCTGAAGGATACTGCAGCAGGTCAGAACGGGAAAGTCAGGCTCTTTCCCAGCGAGGCAGTGATAGCTGAGGGCATCCTAAAGTCCACGAGGGGGAAATCTGACTCAGATTCAGTCAATTCAGTGTTTTCTGACACACCTTTTGTGGCGTCCACTTAATTTGTGCCTATATTTGTATGATGTCATAATTTAATATCTCTTCATATTTAACTTTGTGTGTGGTCTGCAAAATAAACAACAGGACAGAAATTGTGTTGTTTTGTTCTTTGAAATACAACCAAATGGTCTCTTAAAATGATTGGTAGGAAATGAGGTAAAGCACTTTAGTTCCTCAGTCTGCCAGAGAAAGATGGGGTTGTTTTCCAAAGTTTAAGTTCTAGATAACAATATCTTAGTCTTTAGCACTACTGATAATTTCAGAGCAGGCCCAGATGTGATATGACTCCCATTGTCCCTTTATTTAGGATATTGAAAGAAAAAATAAACTTTATGTATTAGTGTCCTTTAAAAATAGACTTTGCTAACTTACTAGTACCAAAGTTGAGTTATTTTAAAGAAAAACACTAGTGTTCAATTTCATTTTTAAAAGATGTAGAAAGAAGCATCAAGCATCAATTATAAAGCCTAAAGCAAAGTTAGATTTGGGGATTATTCAGCCAAAATTACCATTTCAGACCACAATGAATAGACTACACTGATAAAATGTACTGGATAATGCCATATCCTATATGATGTTATAGAAATAGTGCAAGGAAAGTACATTTGTTCGCCTGTCTTTTCATTTTGTACATTCTTTCCATTCTGTATCCTTGTACAAAAGATCTCATTGAAAATTTAAAGTCATCATAATTTGTTGCCATAAATATGTAAGTGTCAGTACCAAAATGTCTGAGTGACTTCTTAAATCCCTGTTCTAGCAAACTAATATTGGTTCATGTGGCTTGTGTATATGTAAATCTTAAATTATGTGAACTATTAAATAGACACTACTGTACTGTGCTTTGGACATTTGAATTAATGTAAATATATGTAATCTGTGACTTGATGTTTTGTTTTATTTGGCTATTTAAAAACAAATCTAAAGTGTTTTATGTTATCAGATTATGTTATTTTGTATAAAGCACCACCGATAGCAAATCTCTCCAAAATTCTAATAGTAAAGTTGATTTTTTTAAAGGGGGAGGGGAAGGCTTGAATGTGTTCTAGATCAATTTACACCTTGTGTATGACATTTTACTCTGATATCATTACGCACTTTAACCAGATCCAGAAAACACTTAAACTCTTAATTTGCAATAGGTGAGAGCCCAGGGGACCTCCTCATTATCCTGTCTCTGCTTTGAGGCAATCAAGTGCCCTCTCTGAACCGAGGTTCCCTCAGCTGTAAAACAAAGGTTTCAGACCAGATGGTGTTTAAGGTTTCTCCCCATACACCCCATCACTCCCCATACTGGAATGAATGATCTCTTGGTGGTCTTAGCATCATCACAGGCCTATACTTGCTTTCTGAAACTATCACATACTGAAGGAATGCAGAATGGGATTAAGATGACTCGCACAGCAGTGTATAGCTTAAAGGGATGTTCCACATCATCACTCCAGCTCCTTCTCTTTTCTCGGGGACAAATGAGGCCCAGAGAGAATACTTTGTAAGGTCAAACAGTGGCAGGGATAGAAGGAGAGCTAGAGTTTAGCATTCTCCCTGTGAAGATCAGAGGTCCAAAGAAACTTTCGACTCCTTTTCAAGGGATGGACATAAAAAGTGATCAAAACATGGCAAAGGAGAATCAAAGATTGATTCTCCTGGGGCTAAGAAAGAAGATAATTTTTAAAGGATGGGAGTGGGCACAGTGAAAAATACTGCAGATAAGTAGATAAGGATGGAAGATCAACCACTGACTTTGGCAGTAATGGTTTTCTGTGAACAAATCAGTAATAATAATAGTAATAACGATAATAATAGATGCATGGTGAGGGTTCCCTAAGTGCCATGTGGGGCTTTCAGTGGCAGACTAGGGAGTGGAAAGTTAAGGAACAAGTAGCCAGGAGGTGTCCTTTTAGGGAACAGTATGTAGACCTGCTGCTCGGTAGCATTGAAAAGTCCTTATTGGATGGTGTTAAAAATTACTGGCCTTGCCCCTTAAACACCAGCTGCACCCTGTAGACAATATCCTTCAGAGTCAAAGATGTTACAAGCAAGCATTTTATTCTGCTTACTGCCATTAAAATAATTAGGAAGAATTCTGTGACTTGTGTGACCTTGGAAATCATCACCTCTTCTTGCTGTATAGAAACATAGACTCAAGAGATGCTGTGATTTGTTTAGGATCATACAGCTAGTCTGGACACAAGGAAAACCTCTTGATCCATGAAAGCTCTCCAGCAATGGAAAGGGCTGCCACAAGGGGCCATGAATACTCCAGGAATGTTTTATAGAGCTGGGACCATCCTCTGACAAGGAAGTTGGAGAGAGGATCCCTGAATTAAATCTTTTTCGGAAGGGATCTCTAAGGTTCTTCCATTCTTCAAATCCTTGATCCAATGAAAGTAAGTGTTGCATTTGGCAGGGAAATATGGACAGTGCTAGGAGTAGGGAATGGCTTTCTGGCAAAAGGATAGGATGAGCTGAGATAGAAACTAAGTTACTTATAACCAAAACAAACAAACAAACAAAAAACGAAAGAAAATCCCAAATACTGAAAAGCAAAGCTGTGTTTTGAGCAAAAGTAGGAAGGAATATTGATTTAAAAAAGTATGAAACTGAATGTTACGATGTACAATTTTAAGTTCTTGGATGTATCAATTTTTTGATAGGAGCCTGATCACACATATTTTAAATATAGGAACAAAAGTAATTTATCCTTTTACAATTTATCTCACTGAGACCTTTTATATAATTTTCTTTCCAAGTAATAATCTAGATTTATGTAACTGAGTTTTTTTTTTTTAAGCCACTTAGTATTTTTTATTATATAGTTGTGAGAGGTGGAAACTCACTGGGTAAATCAATCAAAGTTCATAGAAGTGAAATTTTCCAAGGCTTAGGGTATTTTTTATTATAATAAAGACATTGGGTCCACTATTCCCTATACACATATGATAATATATTCTATAGTTGTGAGTTAAAATTTTAAAGACACTTTCAAGATCTAGAATCTGAAAGAAGCACCTAAAAGATTTTCTTATTTATAATTAATTTCTGCATTAGTCCTCACTGTTCAGTCTAGAGACATTAAGATATATTCATTTTTTAGCTTTAATTGCTTGAATTATTTGCACAGAAAAATGTTTTTTATATTTTTAAATAAACATTTTCCTAACATTAATCAAAAGGGACGTAGATGAAACTTATGGGGATGGAAACATAAGAAGAACAGGAAGACACATTACCAGTTCAAATTCTGAAAAGATATTTGATTTGGGATCATCCTACGAAGCACTATTTAAACAGGATACAGCCAAAGCATCCTACAGCATCATCGCTTTTCCTTTGCCATAACTGCTGCTAGCTTGGTGTCGCCTTCCAGTGGCATCTAGTTTACCAAATGATCTAGCGGTAAGTTCAAAACTGGGTTTCTCAGTAGACTCTCAGGGGAAAGTTAAAGAAGCAGCAGTTTCCAGCAGCTACCCCCTGCACACTTCTCAACCAGAGATTCGGATTCAAGATGTTTGGGATAAGGTCTGCCCAACTGCTTTTTTTTTTTTTTTTTCTAATTTACTGTGCCATTCTGATTCTACCTATTCTGATTCTACCTATTGTGATGAAACATCCTGAAATGGCACCATAGCAAATTGTGTATTTGAGGCTTTGTCAAAATACATTCCTCTTACTTGCTAATGCATTTATTAATAAAAAGAAGAATCTTAGCCCTCTAAAAATATTCTCACATACTAGAAAAACAGAAGAGTTTGATTCACGGACACTAAATGAAACATAGAGTAAACTGGTTGTAATTTATGACTTATATTTTTCTAAACTGGGGAACATGGAATAATTACTTTGAGATGACTATATCCCTGATTCTTTCGTCTGTTAAAACTGTTTCTAGTTTGAAGCAGCTACAACAGATTGGGTTCCTAACAATGAGCTTTGGAGCTTTCAAACTTGATTAGATTATAGTAACATGAGGACATAGTCCATGGATGTTTGAGTGCAGATTTCGTCTACAGAGAAGCAAACTCTTTGCTTCTCCAAAGTATTAGAAGAATAGTTTTTAAAGAAAGCACAAGATTCTTTTCATGATTCTCTCATTCCTCCCTGCCCAAGAGCCAGCCCCCTGATTCATGACTATAATATGAAAGTTAGTGTGGAAAATGATGATTAATTTGCCCTTGCAAGTATTATTGGATGGTAATATATAAAAAGTAGAACTAAAAAGTATTATAATAACTTCTTGAATAATTTAGAGGACTGCTTAAGCTGCCATTGTTGCTTGTGGATAGATGCCAGGGAAAGAAGCTCTTTTACAATAAGGACCAGAGTATAGAAAAATAGGCATTTTGTCAATTGTAAAATGTGCATATGACATTTATACTGGTTTTAATTTATTAAGCACCTACTAAATACCAGGGACACTGTGTGAGATAGTTTTTATTTATTATCATTCCTTGTTATAGTAGCCTTAAAAGATGGGAAATATTACTCTGTTACAGATGGCAGAAAACAACTCAGAAAGGATAAATTGTTTTCCCAGGTGACCGAGTTAATAAGCTGTTTTTATCATGATAATTATTTAAAAAATATCTCTCCATAGTACTCACATAGACGTTTAACCAATAGAATGACTTTGTAAAGCATGGGTGAGAAGCAAGTTCTCTATAAATGTAAGAGTTGAATGAACTAATGCTCGCAGCAAGTCTGGGGAGAACAGAAATGGAAGGTCAGGGGATTATAAATCATAATAAAGGTGAACATGTTTTTTTCCCTATAAAATACAATGTGTTACTAGTAGCAAAATTTGAAATCTACCTAAGAAGATACGAGCTTGGTAAACTATTGGCTCCAGCCTATTGGCTCTTTGTAGTCCAGTTGCACTTCACACATGAAATTGCCTAATATGCAAAACAAATATCTGCTTTATCATTATAAACAATATGTCAAAATATTGAAATGAATAAGTGTTTAATTTCAGTATTTTTAAATTCAAAAATGACCCGAATTTATGGGTAAACGTTCTATTTGAGGGAATATCAGAGAATTTGTTTTCAATTTCTAGGAAAGTGGCAGAGACAAGTCAGACCCCATGGGAGATTTTTCCAACTAATTTAAAAAATAGATTTCTCAAGATAATTTTAAACTTATTTCACAAGGTAGCCTCACTAGCTTACTTGATTAAACTTCCCTATGAGATCAGCAGAGTGTCAAATATATTTGTAGAAAATTTTTGTTGTGTCCACATGATCTTAGGGTCATGGAGTCAAGAATCTAGGATCAAGGGTGATCACTTTGGTGATGAATGGCTAGTAGTAACCCAGAGAAGATTATTGGGCATTGCTAGACGCTGCCATAAATGATGTATAATAACCACTTTCTCCTCTTAAAGGAGATTACAGTACAACTGAGAGTAAACAAATAAACCTATTAAGAAATCAGAGTTAATCTATTTGTAACTATAATGGCCAGTAGGAGGTGAGAAGGGAATATGCTCAGAGATCTGGTTTTAACCAACTGGACTAATGTGGTACAGGTTTACATACTACATAACCATCCCACAAATGCCGCAAATATTACCTTAGCTAGGATCTTGACTTGCAGCTAGCTGATGTTTTAGGGTTATACATTATCATTCTTAATCAAATCCAGAGGAGACAGGGACCTTAAAATTTTGCACTGGTCCTCTATCTAAACGCACAGCCCTCACCTCCATACAGTTAGGCTGAAGCCTTTTAAATGTGTGTGTCCTAGCCATGCCATACAAAATATGAATAAAACCGATGATAACATTTCTTATGTGTAAGCTCCATGCTAATGGCTTTTTATATTTTATCTCATATCTGTGAGGAGGGTATTGTTTTTATGTCCATTTTACTAGTGGAGACACTGAGGCTTAGTAATATTATGTGATTTGCCCAAAGAGCATGTAGTAAAGGAGTCAGGATTTAAACCCAGTTGTCTGGATTCAGAACCCAGTCTTTTA